TTCACCTTTCTCGTGCGCGCTTTTCTTTCTATGTCTTTTCCCTCCTCGGAAACGGGTCGCTGAGAAGGTCTCCCTGGTGGCCGTAGTTTCCCCCCTCCCTTCCCGAAACCAAGGCCATTTTGAGGGTGAGCGGAAAAGGTGGTTTGAGGCCAGGCGGTCAGGGAGTGTGTGTCTGCTTAGGCTTGATTCGTACAGAGAAATGGGGTTAGCCCGGGATTTTGTTTCTCCTTGGGTTGTGGTGGGTGGGTACTGAAGGCAAGGCTTAGTGGAAGTGGGAAGCGGACGTAGGAAAGGTGAATGGTGGCTTTGGGGGGGGGGAATTCTGAGGGGGGGGGAAGGGAAGGTTGCTAGTGATTTCTCAGGGAGAGGAAGCAGCCATCATATTGCACTATCCCCCTCCCACTATCCTTATATAAGGGGGGCACCTTTCTGTATTATTAGGCACCCCCTTAAACTGTCGATAGGGTAGTGGGGGCATTGTACTCATAGGCTGTATTGTATAGGCAGTAAATAGCTTGAGTTTCTCTGGATCACTTCTGTATACTGCTCACACCTCGGTTTAAAGTAGTTTTCAAACGGACAATGGACAAAAGAAAAGTAGCAATGCATGGGCAGTTCCTTTGAATTACTAGAGACTGCTAAATGCAATAGCCAACTCATTCTACTTCCCTTTGGTCTTCTTTAGTTTGGTTCTGAATGCACTATTTAGGTGCAGTTGAGATTTTTAAAACAAAAAAATTGACATGAGCTTTTAAAAGCCATTTGGTCTTAATCGATCTTAATTTGAAACGTAACATCTCAAACTAATCCCCCCCCCACAAAATTTGTTCCATATGCTTTATTTTATTTCCTGTGCAGAAATACATCAGCTTTTATCTTGGAAGAAATGTATTTATATGTTTCATATAATATGCACAATTAAAAAGTTGAACAAAATGTTTCTCTTTTCTCACAGATCATCCATTCTAAAGGAGACAAAATTATCTTAGTGATTATGATCCCAGCAGCATGAGTAGCCGATTTATTCCAATAATAAATCCAGTTAGTTTGCAGTAATGTGTGAGTATTATTATTTTTTTGGTTAAAAACCACAGTTTTAATTCTTTTTAAGAAAGGAGTTGACGTTCATAATTCTACCAATTAGAATGCAGTGTCTGTTGCTTGGAGTGTCCTTGTCTTGCTGTTGCACAACAGAGGCTCTTCAGTCTTTAACCTAAAATGGCAGCTTAATTTGACTGGGGCCCCATTCATTGACAGTGATAATAAAAAGGCTGAAAGCTAAATGTAGCTGGATGGTTAGAATGCATTTCGGAATTTTATCTCCTGCTGTAGTGGGGTACAAAGAAAGCAACTTCCATCCTAAGTACAAAACTTTCTCACAGAATTTTACTTAAATATGACATTGGTTTATGAAAAGCACATGCTAATAAGCAACTTAATGTTGACAAAAGAGCTTGGACAGTCTATGTCACCCCAGCTTGTAGACCTTTTACTGAACAGAACTACACAGAGCTATGTTTATTGTTGTTTCTAGCAGTGAGTAAAATATGTGGCATCTATATGTAAAGTATGAAACAAGTGACTTCCATTTATGTCTTTATACTTAAACACAAAATTACTTTTTAAACTTACTGTCATTGTGGTAATTGATAATACTAATTTGGAATACAGTTAATTTCCTGGCAGATTTGTTGTTTTAACACATGTACTTGTATTGGAAATTAACAAAACTTCATACATGAAGTATTTTTTACTTCATGTCAAAACTACTTTTCAACTGTTTGATTTGTTTTCAACAAAACATTTTCAGCCATTTTTAATCAGCCTAATGTTCAAAGGAATCTAGATTTTTAAGCTACTTGGAGAAAATATAACGTTTTAACTATTTAAATTAAGTTTATGTTGCGTCTAGAATTTAGATATACTGTAATTGTGAGAAACAGCAGATCATAATTTTAACTCATGAAATTTGAGATATTTATGAGACATGTTTGGAGTCTTCTTGGTAACTTTAGATATTAAGAAAAACTTCTTTTAAATAGTATTAATGTAAAAAGACATTAATACTTTTAGAAATATAATAGTATTACTGCTGAATAATAAGGGTGATGACTTCACCAACTTTACTGTGGTCATTAAAATATAAAATATTTTTTAAAATTATTTTTATTTTAAAATAAGGCAATTGTAAATGCACCATTCTATACTGTTAAAATACTGAGTTTTTTTAACATCACAGTACACAGGACCAGAACAGCAGTGATCAGATGCAGGATACATTTAAGGTCTGCTTCTATAATTTGTTTGATTTGTATGTTAGATATGTTTTCCAGGCTCAGTGGGTTGGAACCAGCAATATTATTCTGTGAGTAGAAGGAATCATTTGGTGAAATCTTTTGAAACTGGATAAATATTTTTTTGCTGTTTTGTAATCTGTAATGTAAAATATCCAAAGAATTTATTTTGGTTGTTCATACCACTTCAGCTGTATATTTTGTCAAAAGAGTTTTAGCAGGTTGTGTGTATGATATTGTGACACTGAAAGTTTCCTATGTTATGCTAGAACAGGACTTTTAGGAATCCTTGCTCTTTCTTCTTGGAAGGCTTATCCAGCAAATCTCTTTATTCTACGTTGTGATTGGGGGGTAAATTACAAGATTTTGAGCTTTTGAAGCAGCACTTCCT